GAGGCCACATGAGAGCCAGACCTGTGCAAGACCCCACACAGAGACCAGGTTGGGCTTGAGCCCTCCTGGGGTTCTACGCTGCCCTGCTCTGTACCTCCCTGTGGCATCCGGGACTCTGCGGGGAGAAGCGTACGTACAACCCTGTGGTCTCCATGAGAATCAAACCCTATTTTGGGACCTGCTGGAGCTTAGGGTTAAACCCAACTTTTGCGAAGACCTGTGGTGGTTTCACATCTGGCTAAAATCCCCCAGACCTGATTTTGAGTACAAGTCTCAGTGGATTCTGGGGCAGCACTTGGCCCAAACTGCTGGGACTGCATCTGGCAGCTCCTGCTTCAACAACAACATGTCCATGGGGTGTCTTGAGCTTGACTCTTGCTAAGGGTTTAGATCAAGCTTTCATGGATGGCGATGGAAACTCAGCACTAAAACATCTCTGAGACATGAGTCTCAGCTCCCACCTCCAGCACCCTCTGAAGCCCCAGCTGTGGTGTGTCCCGAAGGTGACACAGGACTGCAACCGAGCATCTGCTCATCCAACCCTGGTCTTCAGAGCTAGGAACAAATGCCACCGTGTCTTGCAGAGCTCAGCCTCTGCAGTGTTTATTTCTGGCTTTGCTGGCTCATGGAAACATGAAGCTGAGGGTGTAGTTTGGTTTCTTGGTATTGATCCTGGGCTTCCAGCCAGGCTGAGATTAATCTCCTCTTTGTCACTAATATCATCAGGTTTAGGCAAGTTTATGAAGTCTTTTTCTGAGATACCCAGTCAGTTGGGGAACACGTCTTGCTGTCATTCCTCCTTATGGAGGTACTGGTTAATTATTCTTTCTGTTAATAAAGCATCTGGATCCAATCTGTACCTACTGGTGGGAAAGTATTTTGGAATTATTTGAAATGTTAATAGTTTTATGACATTCTGATTCATAGCAGGGTTATATTGGGGTTTTCTGCTCTATATCATTGCAGAGGCCGTGATGGCAGGAATTACCACTCCCTGAATATGCTCAAGAGAGAAATACTTATTAATAAGCTGTCTTGTTACTAATTAAATAGATGTGCAGTATTTTCAGATGATACTTGGGCAAGTAAAACAACCTACTGGAAGGGATGGAAACTATGGGCTCCAAGGTCTTTAAGGCCAGGAAAACCTTCTTGGACCTTAATTCTGAATAATTCAAACCATGAAACCTCCACCAACAAGCTCTCCATCAAGTCCCTATGGTCCCTTTGTGTCTGAGTATACCAGTCTCAAAGACCGTCCCATCCTGAGATGAGCCATGAGGACCAGAGAAACCCCAACATCTGCTGGCAGGTTGTCCCTGGGACTAATCACCTTCTTCCCAAAGCAGGGTTCAAACTTAGAGCTACTGTAGAGTTTCTTTGCACTGTTCTCTGAAAACCATGCTGATGGCACCAACAGTGCCAGGGGATGCGGCAGAGGAGGAAGGGCTAAATTTATTTCCATTGCTGGCAGTGGCATCCTGGAAAGAGCAGATGGCCTCTCTGGTGCTTTGCTATAGCGAGGACCAGTGCCAGGGCCTGGGAGTGCTGGGTGCCTCCAACAGCCTGACCTATTAAGGGATGAGTGTTGGACTGGGAGGAGAGGCAGGGATGCAGAGGTGGGACCTGGGCACTACCATCGGCCCCCTTCTCCATCTCCCAGGCATGTGCAGGGATGCAGCACCATTTTGACCATGATGTGGTCGTAGTACTGGCACCATGGGAAGAGGAAAGCATCCCTGGATGGGAAGGGGAGGAAAAGGAACTCTGTCCACCTAGCAGGGCCTCACTGCAGCCACCGGTGTTTCTCTGGGTCTTATTGTGTTGTAGGTACTTTTGGACCTTGGTTGACCACCCCTTGGGCTGGAACCGGTCCATGCTCTTGTATTTGGGACGTGGCCTTCTTGGTTGGGTAAAGACATGATGGATGGCGCTGTGCCTGAAATAAGTGTGGGTTTGAGGCCCTTTCCCTGGCCAGGAAACCACAGGCTGCCCTTCGCCACTGTTTGTGTTTAAAGGCTCACAAATAAAATTCTCCAGATTCCCTCCAGCCCTTGTTCCTGCAGCTTCAAATGTTCTGCCAGTCTCTGCTTTCCAGTTGCCCCTTTTAGTTAAACTCCTTTTTTGGTCCTGTTTTCCTTCAGCGAGCTAACGAGCTGCTGGATTAAAATACATGAAGTCCAGCCATGGTTGTCCCTGAGTCTTCCAGGAACCTGGGACTGAAGTGGGAACCATCAGGCTGGGAAGGAGCTACAGGATGTAACAGGGCAAAAGACATTTCCTTGCGGGTTTATGGCCACCCCATAGGGTTTCTGAGGAAATTATAGACCAGGGCTTGATTCACAAAGTGCTGTCACCAAGGGCACCCACTGCTTCCCACTGATTTCAACAGAACCATAGTAAATGTATAAATGAAATTTATAAACCCCCTTTGGTTTCATCTCCAATTTAAAATCTGGCTATAGGACTTTTCCATAAGTGATGGCTTCTCTCACCTGCTCTAATTTGGCTGAAAGCAAGGAGGAGGAAAGGTTTCTTAAATTAACTCTGAAACCAGCTCTGCGGGATCCGGCCCCATTTCTGGCTGGTTTCTGTTGCCCCAAACTCACGGAGGCAAGAGCTTAAATGGCTGCGGGAACTGGGCACGGGGAGTGATTCCCATACGGGGCTGGCAGGCGTGCTGGGATGGAGATTTAAGACCAGAGTCGGGTCAGGATATGTCCAGGTGCTGGCAATTCCTGTGTAGTTGGAGAGCTGCAAGCCCTGGGCAGGCTGTGGTTGGGGCATTTTGTTCAGCCCCTGCTGCTGATTTTAATGAAAGGACTTTCTCCTGCACCACAAAACCCCATGGGATGCTCCAGGGAGCTTCTCGGAGGATGTTGGTGACCAAAATCCCTTTCATGCCTACTCACACCTCCCCTAAAACACACCGTGCCCCAGTGTGTGTGTGAGCTCAGAGCTTCCCCAGTCCCCTACACAAACCTTTGCTTTCCAGCTCAATTCTCTGCCATGTTCATCCCCCCCCCTCATTTTCCATCCCATCTCTGTACTGCAGGGAGGCAGCTCTGCACCCGGGACGCCTGCCCAGGTCCTCTGCTCTGCTCAAGGATGAGCCTTGGTAACGGATCGACATCTTTTCCCCATTAGCTCAGGCATCGCAGCCTTGTGGGACCAGATAAATGCCACCCTAATTGCTGGCGGCGTGCGCCTGACAGGTTTACAGCGTGCAAAGTCGGGCCGGATCTCTTCTATCAAAGATGTTTTAATAACCCCAAATCAGCTTTCCAAAAACGAGCGTTGCGAAGCGCTCCACGGCACTGGAGAAGGATTGGGGAAGGGGATGGGGTGGGTCTCACGAAGACCCCCCGCCATCTCGCTGCTGCCCATCTGCAGGAATCGGATTTAACCAGACTCGCTGACACTTTGATGGAGGAATCGGAAACTGGTTCCCCACCCCAACGGGCTTCCAGGAATCAGAGTTTGTAATCGCACAAAGTCAAAAACCAGCTCGCCGCCGTCTGTCTTTTGCCCCACAGCAGTGTTTGGGGAGGTTATGGAGAAAGCCGAACCCCTGCCTTTGCCAGTTACGATCTGGGGGTTCGTTTGGGGCATGGCTGGAGGCACCAGCTCGATTGTCCAACCCCAAGGTCCGAGGGGGCTCCTGAGCCATACCCCAAGCCGCCTTCGCTGTATTTATCTTCCACTGATTACAATTTCCGCTAAAGGGAAAAAAATGCAGGAGAAGGGGGAAAACAGGGGGGATAACATTACGGAATAATGAAAGATGACATGGAGGGGAGGATGGGGAGAGGGAGGCGCAGGGGCTTTGCGTAGAGCAGGACGAGCCCGGTGTGCTTCACAAAAAGAGCCTTAAATTGTCCTGCATGTTAGAAAAGACATGAGTCTTTTTGCCCGTGCTGTGGATGAGTTTTGGGGTGCTGGATGCAGCCTGGGTCACCTCCAGCCTCCCCTCCATGATGCCCAACCTCAGGCAATGCTGCCTGCCC